CTATTATAAAAAATTGCTTGAAATGTGGTCATTCGTTGGCAATGCACACTTCTTGTACTCTTCGGGCTAGGGAAGCTTGCGTTCGCACACACAGCCCTTCGAAGGTATAAATTTGAGCTGCGTACACTAATTCACTAACTGTTTCATGTGAACCGCCAAAAAAACACACGTATTTAAATCTGGTGACCGCGGTCGTCATTCGCGACCAATCCATCTCTAGGGAAAATAATTGTTCATTCCATTGGTGACGACTTTGGCATAATCTGATAGAGCTCCACTTGTAAATACCGCATGTGTCGCCAAGGGCAAGGTAATATGTGGGGTCCAATTTGGTGATCTTCAATGATCCTGTCCAAACATTTAGTGAGAATCGGTCTTGGAAGTGATGTCCGTACACTAGTTAATTTGGAATTTGAGTAGTTGGCCATAATGACTTGATTAACAATTTGATTTCAAATCAATGTGCAAAATTCACTCGAAAGCGCATTAACGACTAACTAAACTGACACGTGTAAACAAGTGATAATTTTTTTGGACAAAATGTTTTCTTTTTTCTGTATAAAAACTTTCACGGTTAACATTCAATGCAATTTATTTTCATTGGTTTCTTTTACTTCCAACTAACAAGGACAAACACACTGAACGGCTCGTGAAAATCATAGGGGGGAAATTGCAAAAATAAAATTTGGATACGGAATATACAGGGTGTTCCGTTTTTATTGTTACAAATTTAAACAGGTGATAGGATATTCAATTCTAAGACAAAAGTTTCCTATAAACATATATCGAAAAATGCTTGGTAAGGGAGCTACACCCCCTGAAAGGGGGCTAATATTTCAGAAATCATTTAAGATAAAATTACAAAATTTGGTACAGATGATAACATTTATACACCTAAACAAATTCAAACATCAATTGTCGAAATTTTTAATCAGGAGCGTCCGAAACTGAGGGGGTTTAGGGTAAAAAAATACCCTATCTATTTTGGCTTCAGTTTTTTTAGTTATGCATTGACCAAAATGGTGGTCACTTTGAACAACTCCTTTAGGTTTAGGCGAATTTATTTAATTAATGTTATTATTGTTACTGTAATGTAATGCTAATTAGTTGAGGTTGATTAAAAAATATGAATTTCTTGCTTTTATTATCCTGTAAATTTTGAGTGATTTGAATGTTGTATTGGTGTGAAACATAAATTTTAAATTAATTTTAATCAAAAACAATAAGTCGTATCGACACAAGAGAGACTTTTCTGTGATAAACTATCGAACTTAAGATTTTGTTGCTGAAAGTACCGAGAAACTAAAGCCAAAATAAATAGGGTAATTTTTTACCCTAAACTCACCCAGTTTCGTACGCCCTTGATAAAAAATTTGGCATTTGATGTTTGAATTTGTTTAGGTGTATAAAGATTATCATCTGTACCAAATTTTGTAATTTTATCTTAAATGGTTTCTGAAATAATAGCAAAAACATATTAGCCCCCTTCCAGGGGGTGTAGCTCCCTTACCAAGCATTTTTTGATACATGTTTATAGGAAACTTTTGTCTTAGAATTGAATATTCTATCATCTGTTTAAATTTGTAACAATAAAAACGGAACACCCTGTATTCGGTCTTCAATTCGACTTTTCATAACAAATGCTCTTAGTGGTTAAAATATTTGCTCGCAATCCACAAACACCCTGTATATCTACCCAAGAATAAAGAAAGCGTTAAAAAAATTCCAACTCTAGGATTTTTTTCCACCCATCGCCTATTGTTGTCTAATTTGACTGGGCTAAATAGCCAAGTCGCCAACTTTTTCGAATTAAACTAAATAAAATCGTGTTAGGTACGGGAAAATTGGGCTTTTCCTTCGTGCGCATAACCTGCCTGTTGATTTCCTCAAACCGTCTCTGGATTGGCACGAGTAACGGCGTCATAATTTCTGTTCCGTTGAGCGAAAGCGGCGGAAACACCGGCAGCATATTTCCTCGAGGATCAAACAGCCTTCCCGGAGCGGGAGTACGCGTTGCTCCTGTTCCCGGAAGTTTCATCCCGTTTTGTACCATGGCCCACGCTCAACTCAGTTTCCACGGTCACAGAGACAATGTGAAATTTTTCGTCGCTGTTCCCGGAAACGGAGGTAAACAGTACAAATTGTAAAAAGTGGAAATACTAATTTCAATGTCAAGGGATGAGTGCGGCGTCGACGCCCTCTGAGGCATTGTCGACTTCGGCAACGTCGATTGGTTTGCCTCCTAAACAACCCTCTGCGATGTTGGTGATGTCGGGGGGCGAAGGCTACATCGATTTCCGCGTCGGTGAGTATATAAAAGGGGGTTAAAACGGATTCCTAGGAATATTGAGTGTTGGTGGAAGTTGAATGTTACTAACGCAATTATTGATGAGAAAAATTTGCAGAGGACGATAATGAACCGAGAGATGGAGACTCGCATCTACTCGTTTGGCAGGTTTTGCCTGATATTCCTGGGAATCCTGTTGGGTACGTTTTGTTTTTTTTTAATTTTTGTTTAATTTTTATTTCTTGTGGGGGGGAATTTTTTGAGTTGTTTCTGTTTTTTAGGTGATGAAATGGAAGATAGCGTTATTGATACTGAAACCGGTGATCTTGAAGCAGCTCAGGGTGAATCCAAAGGGGAAAAAAGTCATTTGATTGTATGGCAAGTGTCCACAAGTTAATTAAGCAGAAATGATATTTAACATTAATTAAAAATTATATAACATTTTGAACTAGTTTATATAGCGGTTTTAGATTAGTGATGTTTATAAAACCAACTTGAATGACATAAGTAGACTCAAAATTATCGTCAGCTTGTGAATATGTTATTGATACATAATATTTTATTGTTGTTTTATATCTGTTATATGTAACATATTTTCTGTAAAAACTATTTATTATGATTTGTAAATTTTAAACTTGTATAAGTAGGGAAATTTTTATTTAATGTATTGTGCTTACACTGTAAATGAAACTTATACATAACTGAATGATTTTTATTATTTTCCAATGCATTGTAACAAAAATAAAAATGCTTAAAGACATACCTCACAATAATAATATTGCATATGTTGACATTTGAGGTTATGTTAGTGTTCTTTAGATGCCATATGTCGCATTAAATTGTTGATAAATTTATCTATTTTTCGTACATCTTGAGCTATTTCCGTTTTAAATTGTAAACACTGAAAAATAAACGTTGGGAATAGACAAAAACAGCTTTTTCATACCTTACCACTACATCATCTGTCATTTTTAAAACTAATACATTTTTTGAATGCACGTATTTCATCGTGTATCGTGCTTTTGATGGTGCCTGAAGGTACAATTTTTCGGCAGCTTTTTCGAATTCTTCCCAGGATTTTAAATAAGTCATTTTAATTCAAATTAAAACTAATCATATCAAAAATATGCATCCACGCACAACGTATGACTTGAAAGGGGTAAAGACGGAAGAGGGAGGAAATGTCACTTGTCAAAAAACAATGCAGCCAACAAAATCTTGTTCACTTCCCTAAAACCGCTTTTGCGATTGTCTTATTTGCAACACGAACTTTGAAAATTTTCTTTAGTTTTATTATTTTCAGCAAAGGAAAAATTAGTTATTTGTCGCTGAGTTGAAAGTGCTTTTTTTATAGTTTGATCAAAAATGGTGGTTTTTACGTGCAATCATTGCGGGGAGAGTTTGCAAAAACCACGTGTTGAAAAACATTACAGTTTTCAGTGTAGAAGACCCAAATCTCTAACTTGTGTTGATTGTTTTAAAGATTTTAAGTAAGTATTCGCTTCTTCATTGTATAATATTCACGTTTCAATTTTATTAGGAATGAAGAATATGTGGTTCATACCAAATGCATCACAGAGGAAGAAAGATATTCAGCTAAGGGTTCCATTCCTGGAGGAGTTGTTAAAAAAGGGGAGGTAAAACAAGAATCGTGGACTGACATGATAAAATCAATTGTGCAAACTGAAACAAATATGAAACCGTCTTTGAGAAATTTGTTTAATTCCATTTCAAACTATTCCAATGTACCAAGAAAAAAAGTCAAGTTTATTGTGGGTTTTAGGCCATATGAAGAATTTAGACGTTAATTAAAGGTGTTTCAGAATTTTTTGAAAAGTTCCACTGGGGGTAGAGTCAATTTTGATGATATTGAAGCAGCCTGGGGCTTAATCGAGAAACATAAAAATGAACAAAACAAGAATAACAACCAAGAGAATGGAATTAAACATAAATTGAATGGCGACAGTGAAGAAGCACCTGCAAACAAGAAAAAAAAGATAGAAGAAAGTGAAAATAAAAATAGTGAGGACGATGTATTTAGTTTTAAGGGGACAATTTTAAAAATTTTGAGTGCAAAAGGCAGTATTTCGTGTAAAAAATTGCAAAAGAAAGTTCTTAATGCATATTTGAAGGAAACAGGAAACGCAGAATACACTGAAAAGACAATAAAAAAATATAACAAAAAATTAAAGAAATTACCCAATGTTGTAATAAGTGACGACGTTGTGTCGCTTGTTACAAATGAGCAATAAAAAACTTATAAATAACTTGTTTTTATTAAATCATATTTGTTCGTAAATAATCATCATCTTGTTGCACTAAATGCGTTTTTAGAAACTCCTCAACAGAGTCAGTGTTCCACTTTTCAATAGCAACGGTCTCTTGCAACGCCCCATCTTTGTCGTACAGTTTAATAATCGGATCGAGCCCCCTTACGTATTTAATTTGTAGGTTAGGAAATTGCAAAGGCCGGGAACTCTTAATAAACGCCTGAATCTGCGGATACGCTCCAAATTTGCAAGTGCAGACCTCTAAGACTGCTTTAGCGTACTTTTTCTCAACGGTGGCTGATTCGTCTAGGTGACAACATTCTTTGCAGTGGTCCCTAAATAAAACTGTTGGAAAACTATGAATTTGGACGAAAATACGAACTTTATGACGTCTAAGTTAAATTTAGAGAGTTGCTCACACGAAGAACACAATAAATTTGCTTTGTTGAAACCGAGGGCCCAGCAGTCTTCAGTGGTGAATTCGGAATAACATTTTGACTAAAAAATACTACTTAATGCAAGATTTTGACTTAGGGGGTTACTTACGACACAAAAAGTGAAAAACAATGCAATCATTGAAGTCTTCATCGTCAATTTCTTTACTAAATGAAACTTTGCAACTTATTTTTGTCTACGTATCACCTAACCTCATATTTCCAAATGCCGCACATGCGCTATACAACACTATAATTTTTCGTCAAATTACTTATTTTTAAAGGAAATTAAAAAAGTAATGACAATTATTTCAATTTATTTAGTTTTTTACATATATTACAACTTATAGATAAATATTACAAATATGTATATGTTCACAAAAATTTAATTAAAATTGCAACAAAGTATCATTTACATCATAAACCCAAAAATAAAAAAAACAACTTTACTGAAATTTATTATATTTAGTCAATGTAATCCAAACTAAGCGTAGGTGATACCGATTCAAATTTATCGCTAACTTCCGCATACTGACGCACATCACGATCTTTATCAGCTTGAAGCCTCCTTATAACAGTTCCTAAACTATCAAAATGTTGATTACTTGGATCGGCAAAATACTCTGCAATCAAAAAATAATAATAATTACAAAAACATAAAAACCTTCAAATCTCACCATTAGGAATAACATGTTGGGCAATTGTTTTTGCGACCACCAATCTAACATTAGCCACTGGATCCCAACTCAAGTCCAATAAATGAGGCATAATTTCGGTTGCGAATTGTTCAGCAGGCAAGGCTTTGGCCGATAAAAGTCTGTAACATAGCAGAGCGAAAGTTTGTCTCCTCTTCCATTTTTTCGAATGAGCAAATTTTTCCACTAATCTGACTAGGTAAAGTGAGCTGAGGTCAGGTTTGGTTGAAATGTGCCTCAACAATTCGGTTATCTAAAATTTCTAACTTAAAAACAATATTCACGGTTATAACGAAATAAGTTTACCAAAGAAATTGCAATCTGTCTTACTGCGGAAACATCATGTAGCAAAATTTCTGCAATAAGCCCTATATGTTTAGCCGAATCCACTGGTTTGAAAAGTGTTACAATAGACAAAAGCTGTTTAGCTAACTCGTGACGGAACCGCCAATTCCATTCTGTTTCCGTCTTTAAAAATTCATGCAATCTAGGCAAGCAGGCTAATCTTTTGGCAGGTTTGATTATCTTTAAAAAATAGGCCAAATTTCTCAAAATTCCTATTCGAACTTCGTCCAAATCCTTGATAAATCCCTCAAAGATTGGTGTTAAATGTTCCGATGCGATATCTTCTCCCAAAATAAACGCTAATTCGTGTAAACTACTCGCTACTGTTCTTCGTACTTTATAATGCATATCACTAGCCAAAAATTCTATAGTACGTTTTAAAAGTGGCCAATTTTTATTTTCCAACGTCAGTGCTATTGCCGGCAGTGAATAGGCGCAGTGATAAGACATTTCGTTGTCTATATTTATCGAAAAGGAAGGATCTGTCATCAAAAAGTAATGACTTATTAACACTTGAGGAACGATGTCTTGCTCCGGCTCAGTTTTAGCAATTTCTTTAGAGTCCGGATCTGAAAAAATAAAAATTATAAAATTCGACCACAAATTAACATAAATTTAGAAGAAATGACATAAAAATCATAGTCTGCCTTATACAAAAGTATCTTCATGGTAGTCGTTTTGTATGTTAAAATCATTTTTCGCCATCTGGCTGACTTTCAATTAGAGCCTGATTTATAGAAAGTGAATTGAATTTTAATTCAGAAATAAATTATTTCGAATCGAATTAAATTTTGTGAAAACTGCAATTGTTGTAGAACCGTAGTTTGCTTCATTGTTGCCAATGTGAAACAAAGTCACAGCTTACTCTACCGAATTTTTTACTATACTCACCGTTATCAGTTGAGGCGTCATTTTTGCTACTATCGGCCAAACTGTCATTTAAATTTATCTCGGCAAACGTATCCTCTACCTACAATAAAAAAATAACCATATTAGAAATAAAACCTTGTCGCTACAATTTTTTCATCACTGAAATATCGTTTCAGAGTAACGTTTTGATATCTTCACGTACGTCTCAGAAGACCGTCGTATAGTTTCATCATTAAAAAATCTAAAATGCATCATCATAAATTACCCACGAAATACTTACAGTTACGTCACGAAAATGAGGTATTAACGAGCGTTAAAAAATTACACTTAATTAATAAAAAGCCATGCAATTTATGATGACACACATGACGATATTAGTAAAGCTTGAATTACTCACCGTTGCGTTAGCACCGTCCGCTTTACCTCGATCGATCTGAATCTCCTCGATTAAACTGAGATCTAACGGCATTTCGGGTCTTATATACCAATAATTGTATGAATTGTACAAGTGTAAGTTATCGTCTTCTTTTTCACTCTCACTATTCAAAATTACCTGATTTTGTTCGCCGGCTGTTTCCGCACCATCAACGGCATCACACATTATTGACGTACTTGGTTCGTCTATACTCAGGCTCAAATTCGCAAATTCGGCTTCTAATTCGCTATCTAATTTATCACAACTCGCATTTTTTAAATTACTTATCACATTTGCATTGCTTAAGTTAGTTTTTAAGTTATCGCCTATCACACCGTGTTCTTGTTCCACGTTTCTGTAGCTAAGCACAGCGTTTTTCACTGTTTCAACGATCTCCTTTATATCTTCATCGCTTTGCGCTATCATACTGCCCGAATCCAAATCGAAATTCTCTTCAGGTATTCGCTCGCTCTCTAGTTCGTTATTCGCGCATTCGCCAATTTCGTCTTTCGATTTTAAGATGTCTTCGTCGCCCTGCCAATCGCCTATTCCCGCATCGCTGCACGATTGGCTTAAATCTGAACTGAGAGGAGACGGCTGTCGTGGCAAGTATTTAAATCGGACATCGTTAGTCTCTTTGGCTACGTTCATTCTAAAATTTTTATTCAATTATATCAAACTTTCTTCTCCAAAAATTGACTTACAAAAACTCTTGGCCATCTTTATTCACAAAAATTAATTCGCCTTGACTATTATAGGCCGTACTGGTCAAAGGAGGATCGGCAAAAGTTATTATAAAAGGCCCCAATGCTTGGAATGCGGACATTTGAACCCAGCGACAGTCGTCTTGGAGTAATTTTGCAAATACTGGTGCTAGAATCGTTCGACGTATTTCAGGAGAACTTACAGTAGATATGAACATTATAACCTCAGCACAGGATTTTCGTACGCCCCATATTGTGTCTTCACACAGGGCTATGTAACACGGCAACTAGAAAAAAAAACACAATTATTTAATCGACTTATGCAAAAAAAAAAAAAATAATAAAAATACAAAATGATTTTAAATATAAAAAATCAGAGTGACGTAAGCTATCGTTCATAGTTTATCCGAAGACCGTCGTCCAGAATCATCATTAAAAAAAATCAAACTGTTTCAAAACATTTCAAAATTGCTCTTTTTTTAAGTTCTTTCCTTTCACTTACCAAAACTTTGTCAAACTGCTCTTTCCCGACAACGACAGAAAAATCGCCGATATGCGCCGCACACATTTTCCTTGTGTAAAACATACTACTTGCACACATTTCAGAAAACCTCTTCAAAAACACCCTCTCCGTGACATCCCTTCCCAGCAGCGGTGCCATTCTTGACATCAACTGTAAAAAAAATAATAAATTTACTTCATGTTGAGAGACCACAATCAAAACAAACTCAAAAATTACTTACGTTTCGTACATGACGTCATCAGTGCACTCTTGCGCTCATCAAAGCTGGCTGTGATATGATATAACAAACCACATTTCACATCCAGATGATGAGCGAAAGCCTACACTAAAAATGCAAATCATAAACAGTGAAAAAACACCTGAAACACACAAATATTTGAAAATGGTGTCTATTAGATGTTGTAGCGCTCATCAAAGCTGGCTGTGATATGAGCTACAAATCCATTTCACATCCAGTTGATGAGCGACACAGCACATAAAAATCGTACAAAAATGTAAGGACACGAAAATGATTCTCGACGAAAAGGTCGTCAACCAAACTCGTCAAAATGGCTGTGATACCCAAAATAAGTACAAGGTGTCACAACCAAATTGACTGATAGGGCACCGACCACACAAATCCTCTTCGAATCGATGACTTTTGAAGACAACTGAGCTCATCAAAGTGGCTGTGATATCGTTTAGATTAAGAGTTCACAACCAAATTGACGACTCGGGCATCTCCACAATTTTTTTCTCCTTTAAGGCCAACATTGATGATGTGAATCTCAACTGTGCTCATCAAAGCTGGCTGTGATAGAATCAGTATAATCTAAAACCGCCAACTCTGATAAGAACAGGCAAGACTCGGAAACAATCCAAGAATGCTGAATTTAGACAATCACTACATGAAAGACAAGGTAGTGAGACAAAATCTATTAAACATCTCACTACCCATGTCTTTCAAGAAGAGACTGTTAATAGCAAAAAAATTCAAAAATGTTACAAGGCCATATAATTTCAAAGACGAATAAATTTTTTCAGTAACAAAAATATCACGTAAATAAACAATTGAAATAATTTTACAATAATGAAGAATGCAGTTCAAATTTAGCGCCAGTTATAACAGGGCTTGATCGCTAGAACATGTGACCAGGTGTTGTCCAAACCTAGAGTCATTTCAAGTACCAAACAACAAAAATACATATTTCAACCAAAAATATAAAGTAACAATAAATTTAAAAAAATAAAATGTGTCTTTTCAAATTACAAATTTGTTTCTTTAAGCAATTGTTTATAGTCCAAGAGGCGAATGATTTTTTGATAATAACTTTTCCAGTCAGTGAACATCGATAGGATTTGTTCAACAAATACTGAGTAGAAAAATTTTTCCACAAAAATCAAATGACGTGAACTTATTTCTTGTTATAAAGACTTTTGATGTACAATATTGTAAAAAAAATAAGAAATAAGAAATTTTATTTATCGCTATTTCGTAATGGCTCACCATACCACTTTTAATTTTGGCAATAAGATATTCAGTAGTACACCGAACACAGATGAAATTTTAAAATCTTGGTAAAATGATCTAGTTAAGTAAAAATATTTGTTTTTTTTTTTAATTTGATCAATTATTATTTACATCTGTGCTCTTGTCACTTACTAAAATAAAAGCGAATATAATTTTAATTTTGCTCCAGATGAAAACACTTTTTCACACAAAATTAAAAGAAGAAATAAGGTTGAACAAAATTATGCTTTTAGATTTTATTAGCAGGTTGGCATCACAGGTACCAACACAACAACGTGAAATTTCAACTTAAAACCAAAGCAACGTGATAAAAAATTTCAATTGTTTATAATAAACATTTTTGCATTTGCCGCCAAATTTTTTGTATTCGTCTTCGAATATTATTCGATTAGCCTCATAACTACATAACATAATTAAAAAAAAAAAAAAAAACAGGAAATAAATGTGTAAACTTACTGTTATGGCCCCTGTGTTTATCTCGGCGATTTGTTCCTCGTGCGACAACGCCAAAATCGCGGGACAAACTTGTATTTCCGCCTGCGGCTTTGTTATTAATCCCTGTTCCAGCAGGTGTATGAGCGTTGTGTGTGCCGCCTTATCGACAGCATTTTCCGTACTTCCTAGATTTCGTACAACCAACGGTATTAAATAATCCCCAGTGACGTTTTTCAACACTTCCACGCGATTCGAATATTTCAACGCTTGCGAAGCCATGTGCGGTACTTGATCCAAAAGATCAGCTCTGACCATCGTCTCTGCAAAAAACCACACCAAAATTAGACATAAATCGAGGTTAGAATCGCATTTTCAACACACAGAACGATGTTCGACGCAAAAAAAGCGGCAAAAGTTCCAAGCACGCGGTCACCACCATTTTGATTTGCGCCTAAATATTTCTTGCAGGTTAACCGGAAACGCGTACCGAAAAATCGTGGTGAAAACGTGTTTTGCGTGCGCAATTTGCGAAAAGGGCTTACCTGGTGTTGTAATGGGGGCATTGGTGCACAGTTTGGATAAAATCGCGCCTTTTTTTCCACATTTTTAACGATAAAACAACAAGGATAAAAACGAAGCGTTCGCATCAGTGCCATGCCGACCAACTCGTTTTTCATCGTTGCGAGGTTGTGGAACGAGATGGCGCCGCGATCGCTACACGAAACAAGAGGAGAGGAGAGATCGTTGAACGCAGCGGCGAACGAGCTCGTAGTACGAGCGACGACGTGATGTTTCATTCAACTTCGCGCAGCACCGCCCTATGTCTGGGGCGTTATACGCAGTGGCGTGCTGTACAAATTTTGCTTTTTACAAAAAAATTCAAAAACAACGGATGAGCAAAAATACAAGCAGCGTACGCTACCAATTTCAAAAAAAAAAATCGCGACTGCATGATTTATACAAATTTCAACTGTCACTGTCAAATTTCGATCTGTCAATTAGTTTGTCCTCAAAGTCGTTGTAGAAGTTATTTGGAATAAATCTCGAGTTGTAACGCTCCTTTTTTGAATGACGTTCACGTTCTCCGTTTCAACCATCGCCGTCTCCATAGAAATAATCTTTTTCTCGCCTGGGCATTTTTTGAGTTCAAGTGATTCTTGTTGGCGCTTTAATCTGGGGAATTTTTTTTGACAAATCCAGTTTTTTAGCTTAAAGGGTTCAATCTCATAATATCAATTCTCCCTGGCGTATCTAGTTTTGTTGTATCCTTCCTCCCCAGCATTTTATTAATTGCGTTATTTTTCGTTAATAATTAAAAATTATTCAGTTTTTCCTTAGTAACCCCCGTAACTAAGAAAAAATCGGAATCACTGCTCCAATGCATTTTTTACGAAATGCCCAGGCGGGATATTGATACATTATATTAAGGAGGCGGTGGTTTCAACTAACATTTTCTAAAAATTTGTGATTTACTAACTGTATGGTTACCGCCCTCCTCTCAAAAGCCCCACTGAAAGTTTTGCTTTTTGTATACAAATGATCCAATTATTCGAAGAAAGTAACAGTATTTGAATCAAAAGCGGAATGCTATGAGACGCGTTGGTATTTATTTTTATGCATCAACTAAAGAGAGCCCAACGAAGCTAATTGACAGATCCTAATTAAGTTAATTTTGCCAAATAGTGACAGCTCAAACACATTTAAATGATCGTCATAATAATTCTCTCCATTTTTTGTGTGTGTTTTTTTAAATGTATGTTGTCTTTTTGTTAGCATTTTGTTTTTGTCCCTACAAATTTTGTTAAAACCATTATAAAGGTTTTCATGTTAAGATGTACAAATTTTAACTTTTATGAATTTTGTGTGTCTGTCTTCTCTTTAAAAGCGTTATAATTGAATATCTGAAGACACTACTTAGTACCTAATGTCTAAAGACTTAAAAAGAATTCAGTGCTAGTAATATTGATAGAAACATTGCAAGTATATACAATGTTGTGGGTAAAAATGAGCTTTTTGCTACAAAAACTTTAATGAAAGAGGTCTATAAAGAATAAAGTTATTTTGCAATAAATGTAAGCAGGTATTATGAAGATTGGCGCTAAATTTTGTGTAATTTCTTGAAATGAAGCCGAAGTTGATGCATGTTCTAAATTTTTCCTCAGCTTTAGTTTCAAAATTGATAGTTTTTTTAACTCGTTTCTCAAAAACCGTGCAACCAGACACTAATTTAATTGCGTTCTTTTTCATTCATGTTTATTTTGTATTCCCGGAAATTTATTGCTAAAAAGTAGGAAATGTTTAGCAAACCTGCATTACAAATTGCGTGGGTCTAGCTTTTAACGATAGTTTTTTTCTGACTTCTGTTTGTACATTTTTCGTCTCTAAATTTCAAAAAACTGTTAGCGGTACCGAATTTGTCCCTGTTTTGTGTTTTCGTCACTAAATTTACTTAAACGATTTTTTTGCTGACGGTGATACTGTTTTCAAATTAAATTAACAACAGGAACTCTCAACTTTCTTTAACGAATGAATTTGCTAGTAGTGCCAACGTTAAGAATGTTGGCATTTTCATTAAAAAAAAACATACTATACACCTCATGCCTTTTCCGTAGAGGTTTTATCACTTCACACAATTATTTTTTTGTAAGAAATAGTGGAACTCAAAATGTGTTACCAGAGTCCTATGCTAACACATACACTTCAAAAAAAAAAAAAAACTAACGTGACGTTGCCATTGTGCAATTTCTAATGCCATTCTGTCCCTTTTCACAATGTCTTTTGTCTCTTAACTTGTTAATAGGGTCCAGTTGATTCTGTATACAGAAATCAAAAATTTGTGACCTATTTCATAATTTTCATCCCAAAAAACGCAGTTGCAGCGTTGTCACTGTGGTGATAGAAATGACAGGTGTATATTACGTCGTCCGATATTAATCACCAATCTGTCACTTTTCATATTTTTTTCGGTATGAAATAGTGGAGTATTTTGAATTAAATTGTCAATAGGATAGTTGTTAGATTCTTGTTTTTCACAGAAATCAAATATTTCATATAATTTCACCTCAAAAAACACAGTTGTGACGTTGTCTCTGTGGCGATTGAAATGGCACGAGATGTGGATCACAAAAATTGGTTTAGTTGTTAAACGTGTAACTAAACCCAACTGACTTTAGGACCAAACGATTTTAGCATTCTCTACGTAACAAATAACCACTTAATATAATTTTTTTTATATTATGCTATACTATAAATGAAAACAATCAATGTTCCCATAGTCAATTTTCAATTTCGTAGCTAATTCAACACAAAATTTGATATCCTTTGTTTATTGCGTTGTAAACTTTTTACTCTTAAACCAGATTTTATTTTGGAACTTTCTCTTAGAAAATATAAACATGTTGCAAAAGTAAATCTTCTATCATATACAAGGTGATTAAAAAGTGTCGGACCAATTCTCAAATCATCATAAGACTTTCAGCTAAGCATAAAAGTGAATGAGTTTTTTTAGCTTTGGTTTTTGTAAAAAATAAACAGAACTTACAATTTCTATATTATCCTGTAGACACCTAAGCTTTGTTGTTTACGATGTTGTTGGATTTAACTTATTGTTGAATTTACTGGTTTGTTTAAAAAATACAAACCTTTACTAATAAGAAAGTCTTAAAGTGATTTGATAATTTTCTCCAAAAAAACACTGATGAAATATTGAAAATGTATGAAAATATTGTCAATGCTGACTTTTAGTTTGTTTTAGACAAAAATGATTTTAATCAATATTTATGGTCAGTGTTCAAAAATTGGTAATTTTGACAGATAAGTGACGGATGTTAGATTTACTATTCACGACTTACTTTTTAAAACAATATTAAATGAATAATATTTAACAAAATTTTCACCAATTCTAGCAATTAAAACCCGACTTAACCAACATTCTCAAGCCCTGCGTTTTCCTACTATGCCTTATTAGTTCCGCCACTGATTCTCCACCAATTTGACGCTACGTCTTTCTCTGTCGTGTTTATCGCCGATCATTTTAGGCTAATTTAAAATTTTCACCCGTTTTTCTCCCACTCGCTACGACCACTGCGACACACTAAAACTCCAATCAAAGATTTCGGAGATTGAGAAGAGAGATTGCTTGGCCATCCACTCTGATATGGTGTCAAGTTCAGGGTGATATACAACCCCCGCAGAGCAAAATAGACGATCAATAGGGAAGCGACTCCCGTTCTTACTGCTTCCATACCACACCTACGCCTCACACGCTTCCGGTCGAGCCGAAGATTTAACACGAACAATCTTAACCAACTAACCAAAAATTTTGAAATTACTCCAGATCCTTACTAAAATTTTAAAAACAAGCTTCTTCAAATCTACAGATTTTTTGCAAATTCATAACTGTAAATTTAGAACAAAATCGATTTCATGATAATAAAGTTTTATACAGTTATAATTCCACGAACTTGTAGATTTAACAGAATTCGTTAATAAGTATAAATCTAAATAAGGTTTAAATATTGTATTTGTGTTGTTGGAAATTAAAGCTACCATGAAATGAACATGTTGTCCGTTATCTGATAAGGTTTTGTAAAGTCGCACGAGATTCATTCATTAATGCGTCCCCTGCATTAGTCAATGAATTTCAATATTAAGTATCACCGAAATCATTATTTTTATCGACTAAACAAATCGTTTTTTTTTTTGTAAACTTGTACAATCTGTAATAAATAACGATAATTCAATAATCGATACACCTTAATTACACCGCTCAAAGCTTGCAATCTCTCACTATTCCACCCATTCAAAAAAGGTTTAAAAATTACATTTCAATTGAAACTTATATACTGCCACCCTCATTAAAATACATCCAACATGTCAAATAAATTTACTCGTTTTGTAAATGCTGTGAAAAAATAAAATCTTATTCATTTATGTGAGTGTTTGCTGGGGGTAAACGAGACGTCGAACGGAATTAGTATCAGACGCGACCGCATACCTTTCTGATGGGGTGTCTGCGCTATTTTTACCCAACGTGGTATAAATAATACGAGTCGTCTAATCGCGGGGGGTCATCCACGTGCGCCACTTCCTGTTACCACCACCGGAAGCTGCACACATCACACAAGAAAAAAAAAGTTCGCTCGGTTTTGTCACAGAAATAGACGGTGACGACAGAATAAAGCAACGACAAGCGTCCAGATGCATAAATGAGCAAATTTTAAAAACCCGAAATTAATTTTCAGTGTGGCTAAAAAGCCTGTGATTTTTAAGACAAAAAGAGATGTTTTTTGATCTAGAAGAAGAGAAAAGTTTAATTTTGTGTCTGGTTTCTTAATTAACCTAAGAGTTCTTTTTTCATTTTAAAACCTACTTTCACAAAATACCTAGATGTGATCAGCCCTTACTTTATGAAAGAGAAGACCCTTGTCATATTTTATACCGTTTTTTGTACCACTTTTAAGATAAAACAAAATACATCCCCATGTCTACACTAAAAACAGTCATTCGAGGCAAAAGTTTGCGAATTTTGAGTTGTAAGCAGTGTTAGCACTGTTTAAAGACAAAAAAATAAAGACAAGAGCGAAATTTTGATTGTTATTGCTAATCCCTGATCAGCTTGTGTTTATACCTGTATCGTTCAAGTTATTAAAAAAGCAAAGTTCGACTCATTTACTCATTTTAATGTAATGATAAAATTAAGACAAGTACAAATTTCCCACTTATACATTAAAAAGGGCCGTATTTGCTATAAAAAAAAATTCACTACTGAAACAAAAGTAGCGCTATTGAAATTGAAAACTGCACGTAATAAATCCACAAAATTTTTATGGGAATAGATTTCAAATGAGGAGGTGTATACACGGAGACTTATTTGTAGACATGAAACTTTCAAAAAAACTGGTTACAGTTTTTTAATTTTCTCGACAAAACGATAACATTGAAAATCAAGATATCCCCAAACCCTAGTTTGATCGTTTCTCTAGAAGACGCATTTCATAATTTTTCAAAAAACCAAAAATCCTAAATCGGTATCTTACTCCACCAAAAGTACACTTTTTTCAACGCGAAAATGTTCAGGCCTCTCTTACAATTGAAAATAAAGAATATCAATCCTTAGTTTGATCCTTTATGTCAAAGACGCATTTGATAGTTTTACTAAAAGACGCCTTAAATAGGTGTTTTACTCCTCCAAAGATGCCCTTGCATTAACGCGAGCGCGAGGCTCCACTTAAGAAGTGTTTCTTTTATTTGTACAAGTAATAAATTAATTTGTTTTTTAATACTTCTTCTCATAATCGGACAAATCAATCGTTAAAATGAGAGTTAAAGAGTTTACAACAAACAGCGTTAATAATAACCGAATATGTATTTTTTAATAATCAAGATTAACATTGAAAAGAATGTTGTTTCACAAAATAAAAAATAGTGAATGAATCACAATTACTGCGAATCAAATATTCAAATGCAAGTTCATCTTAATAAACCATTACCGATAAATAAATAGATTACAAAGAAAACATTATCAAAATTACATGCACGCTTCTTGTTCTTGACTATTAAATAGGTATTTGAACTGAACTAATTTCTTTAAATATGGAAACTATAGCAAACACGTGGTTTTAAATTTAAAGTACGAGCAGGTACTCTTCATAAATACCATACCGGTGAGAGCATTTCCCAGAAACTACAAAAATTAGATATGCATCGGCAGGAAATACCAAGATATAATTTTTTTTGATCTACTTCAGGTTTTGTACCTTAATTTTTCCAAATCAACAGTCTCTAATATTATTTTTTCCGACCGAATGATTTATCTAACTAACTAAACCATCATATGGAAAATTTACATATTGATAATAACCCCCACACACGACATATTATATATGTAGTCGTATTATGGTCTACCTTCGAGGCTAGTAAAAAATGTGACGCATTTTATACGGAATTATGACTACCTGCTGCCGGCAACAACCGAAGAACGACAACATTCTCTACCATTCAAACACGTAATTTTCTCTTATAACAAAACTCACCATCTTTCTCGCCCAGCGATCGAACAATGGTCATGATACTCGGAAGTTCTTCAGCCAAAATTTCCGCCGGTGCTGTCCGGAACAATTCTTGAACTATTCTGGCGACCATTTGACTGCAAACAAATACACATTTTTGTAAAAACAATCACTTTTGTTTCAAAGTTAAAAATTCAGCGACCACGTGGCGTACACTAAGACGCAACACGAAGAATTGGCGGGAAAATGATCACAAACATTCAGAGAGCGTAATGGTGCGCGCGCACAGGATGCTTACGAAAGCGCGAATTATAATTTTCGAAAAAATTACACCGAAAAAGAATGATTTTTCCAATTATCGAAAAAACCGTAAAATCATGTATACGAGAAATATCCAATAAGGTCGAGTCATGCACACACACGTTTTTAATGCTGATACGTAATTGCGATATCCGACTACAAACCGGTGATCAGCGAAAGCCGAGTTCGCGGTGCCGTCTCTATTGGTCGCGAAGTCTCCGCCCCGCGGAAACAAGCCTAAGATGGCCGACCGTGGACCTGAGGATAATGTAATCTACGTCGCAAATTTTATATTTGGAAATTTGGCAAAAAACACTAAATTGTGACATTTTTCCAAGAGGATATTTTCTTCAAACGAAAATGTAATAAATGAGGGTAGAACAGGGTGGCATTTTTAAATTAAGATACAAAGCAGGTACTTTTTCTAAATATTTTACTAGAAAAATATAATTTAATTCTTAAATAACACTTTAAAAAAAACATATATAAATTCTTATATTACCTAGTGATCTTTTTTCAACTAAATCAAAAACAAAAACATTATTATTTTTTTCTTATTTTTGGGAATCAAGAAACCTAATGTTACATATCATGAGCAAATTGATTCAGGGTTTTATTTAAAATTCATATTTAAGAGATTGCGATTATTCCAGAGAAATGTGACTGCAGCTTCCTAAGAATTGTTTGTAATAAGTAACAAAGCAAAAACAAAAAACATTCGCATAGTATACTCTCATAGTAGTTTTTGAAATTTTATGTCTTTAGAAAAGTGAATAGTTTACATTTCTATGTTTTATGATTATCCAAACTGCTTTTAGAAGTTCTAGGAATATTAAAACTTGTAGGTAGGTTATGTATGTGTGTAATTCATTCTATGGCTCCATTCAATCGCAGAATTTATTGAAATTAAGCTTTTCCAAAAAATTTTTTTGAGAAAAGAATGAAACATGTTTATTATAAACTATTTTTTATATAACCAAAATCAAATACAAATTTAAATAATTAGAAAAATGTCAAATTAATTACATTTACGTTAATTGGTATATTTTTTTTACCTTTAAAAAAATTCGAATTTTTCGTATTATATTAAATTCAATGATTCAAAAGAACACAAATTATTTATAATTATTATTATTAATCATGATGGCACTTTAAATAAAATTTATTCAAAAGATTTATTCAATAGGTACAGAAACGTATAATTTCGACCTTTGTACATTTCAAATATTTAAAATTTTAAGGATATTGTTTTTGAATTAAAACTAAAACAACCACCTACTTATCCTATACAAACTGTCACAAAAATCTGATGATTTTTCTACCCACCACGCTCAAAAACATCGGTTTCACATAAGACTATTGTAACCGATTTTGGCACTGACAAAATAAATGGCAGCAATATTATTTATTAATCTTCTTTAAAGCGATTTATTTATTGTATACAATAGGTATAATACTAATGTCTATAAATAATTTTTTCACAATTTAACTTTTTTCCCCACATCCAAAGCTCGACGATACTAATACTTAATACTTGTTAAAACAGAAGCATTTGATAATTCTTGTTCTGACAACTTTCAATTAGCGGTGTTTTCTGAAAGATAAATTATTCCTGATCGTGACATAGACATAAAAAAAATTTCAAAATAAAATCAAAACTTTTCATTATACACGATGTCTCAAAACTCGCGCACTGGAGAAAAATATCACGTACCAACCAACAATGCGTTACCAAAAAATGTAAGCGAAGAATTTACTTGAGTTTGCGTAACAAAGTTACCAAACTTTTAAATCCACCAATTCCTAAAAGGTTGTTGGCGACATTATTAGAAAACAAATCCGGCTGTTAGGTTTCAAAAATAATACCAGTTTACCCTTAAGTTACAAAAAATGTACGGCTCACTGTAATTTTGACACTGTTTAAATTGCCTTTACTTTACAAATCAAATAACACAGTAATCTACTCGTTGCAAATCATGTAGGTACAATGGCGAGGATTAAATTTTGGTAGTCAATGTCATTGCTTAACATGCTGTCTTGTGAAACGAACGTGTGGATGTCAAATAGCTTGCCTTGAAATTGACGGAACTTATTCTTACGAGCCCCAATTGATCAGTAATCTCAACTTCAAAAGATCCTCTCTCCAGCATAGAAATTATTTTCACTTTGTTGAAATTAGAGACTGGCCACAAAATAAAATATTTGTTAATTAATTTTTGGCGTGGTGTTCTAACAATTAACAATCAATTTTGAAAGAAAGTTGAAAAAAGACAAAATTACACAGGGAAACTATTTTTGAAAAAACATTTCAAAAATAACATTACCTACCACAATTTAATGCTCGCCATTGTACATGAGTATAATGGGAACGCTTACCAAATAATTGATAATTTTTCAAAATTCGATATACCTACAAAGGCATTGGAAATTCCACATTTTCCCGAATATTTTCAGTGCTATCTTCCTCAAAAGCATTTAGAAATAGCTTCTCCCTTATTAGTCCTTTCTCAAACAAGCGCACCACCAATTTCTTTTCTATTTGGTACAAATTGTTTGAGCTCTTGCATCCTTGCAATTGCTCTCAGTATTACCTTATGATCTGAATGGTTTCGTAATCGAAAAATAATCGCTGCTTCGCTGAGCATCGTGGTCAGACTCTTCGAAAATCTTAATTTCCAAATAGTCAGCAGTTATAAATATGAACTGTTGATTACATTGTAAAATTAAATTTCACAATAGTTTGACATTGATAATAAAGAAAAACTAAAAGTGTCAAAATTACAGTAAGCCAGATATATTTTGTAACTTACAGACTGATGATTTGAAACCGTAACAATGTTGCAGTAATGCAGTAACACCTCGAGTGCCCTTCTGTGATTGGTGAATTTATAAATCTCGCTATTTTATTGTGCGTGCAAGCTGCAGAGGAAAATTTTTCATCATATTTGATGATTTCAAACCTAACAATTTTACAGGAACACCTTGCAGTGCTCTTCTGAGATTGGTGGATTTAAAAATCTCGCTACTTTATTATGCGTGCAAGCAAAAGTAAATTCTTTGTTTGCATTTTTTGATGTTTTTGTCGCCAGCGTTTGACATCTTTCTCTGAAGTACCAGTTCTAAAACACCCGTTATTTATATGAATGAATGTATAATCAAAATTAGAATACATACAGAAACATTTTTAAACTCTTAACATAGCCCTACGTTCAATTTAAAAAAACAGATCAATTCATTGCTGTCTTTCAATGATAGTCTCAGTAACCTGTCTACAATTTAAGAGTAACGAAATAAAAAATTGCTTTACTTAGATGAAAATGATGCAAGACAAACAAAATAATTACAGGCAAATAGAACATGAAATAGTTCACAGTAAGAAAAAAATTATAGCAAAAATTTTCTGAAAACAGTAATTAAAAAACAGACTTTTTTTCTAATAAGCAGAAAATTTTGTTTCGCCTTATATTTTTGATTTTTTTGAAAACGCTCTATCTAAATACGATTAAAGATAAAAAAAATAAGTAGGTAAGTTGTATAGTTGCTTTATAAAAGTAGACAGCTCTATCTTCAACAGTTTTAGCCTTACAGACAATCGAAAGATGTTTTTTTAATGAAAACATTTCGCTTGTATGGGTGATGGTGTGTGTGTCTATAAGAAGCTATTTAAACCTAAATCGTTGAAAATAAAGGTATGGTGGTGCCCTGGACTTTTTTAAAGCAAATTTAATTCTCTAGGTATAACTTTACCCTTTACCACTATTTTTCTATCTTTAATCGTATCTGCAACGCTTTAAAAAAATTCAAAAACATTAGACGAAACAAAACTTTCTGTTTTCAATTTTTTTAATTATTGTTTTCTCTTATAATTCAGTGTTAAAAAAAATTATAAAAAATTTATATAGGTATAGACCAAAAGAAAAAAGTCTCTTAATAAACATGGGTCCCCAAAGTAACGTTTACGGAGATATCGAATGTGAATTTTTTTAGAATTTTTACTAAAAGCTTCTCTTTTTTGTTTGAACAGATTGCAAATAAATGTTTTAAAAAACGAATAATCTTTGATATCTCCGAAACCGTTATTTTGCGAACCCACGTTTATTATTATTGTTTTGGTCCGTACTATTACCTCCTGAAATATTTTACAATCTTTTTTTAACACCTTGTATATCAAGTGCATTGAGTATTGCCGGAAATTTTTAAGTGACATTTCGGAAACGTCGACATACGTTGTAAAAATACACAAATAAAAAAAAAAATGTCAAAAAAAGTCGTATTATGAAGCCAAATCTTTAAAATTATTATTATTAGAAAGTGTCAAATTTCAATATCAATCAATATTTACTTTTTTTTGTATGTTAAAAAAACAGATTCTCTACACGACTCTTCATGCTCTGATAAGTGTCAATCACTAAATGTAAAAAAATATATCTTTATTCTTGACTTTTCACAGATTCCACAACAGGATTAATGACAATTTTAAGTTTTTCAATTACCTACTACCGTACACCAGGAAGTAGCAGCGAATTCGATAAAATTCCCATTAATGCCACTACAAATTATCAACAACGAAAACTCGAGTGTTTCATTGCCCCAGGTCATGCAGGATATGTGAATTCGTCGTCGCGTCGTCATTCAATTACAATACTGAAACTAGGGGTGAAACGAATATTTCCTTGCTCTTGTCGACGTATCAGACGGGTTGTTAAGCGCATTCTGACCAATAGGAAACGGCAAACTGTCTACATGACCAGGTGCACCCCGTACGTTGATTTCCGAAAATCTATGAAAGGCCCACAATAAAATGGCGACATCAAACTACCGATGATGATGATGATAC